CGAGTCTGGACTAAACAATCCAGTGATAGATATTGTGAGCCTGACCCCCCGGTCCGTTAAGACGCCTCTCACGACAGGCATGGCTTGCTGGGGCACCATTCGTGGAGGATGTACATGGAACACATTCTAATACTGAGTATTAATTAAGATTGCAATTACGTTATGCATTACAGGTGGCAGCTGGTGATTTAAAAAAATGGATGCTTCTCTTGAGGAGATGCATTCGGTAGTCGCCACCTTTTACTTCTCCAGTCTGTTCTGGCGTTGCCAGGCAGAGTAGTACAGCACTATACTCCGCAGGGAGCTGAGAATGAAAATCGAGTGCTCACTGATCCATTTACCGGGGTAGAAATAGTGTAGTGCTGTGATAATCCACTTGCTGAATGGAATCTGGCGCATTATAATGCACTTATTATTATTATTATCAACATTATTATTATTTTTACATATTATTATTATTATCATTATTATTATTACCATTATTATACAAACAAAGTGATATGCTTCTTCAAATGTCAGCAGAAGGAGCTCCTGACAATGGTAAGAAATAAAAAGCAGCAAACAAAAACATTTCCATAATCATAAGAATTATCGACTAAAGGCAGAGAAAGGTAGATTTCGACAAGATCATAAGCATGTATTTATGAATCAAATAGTGATGATACCAGGTGTGCGCGAAAAGGTCAGCGTATCCTGCCCAAGTGATGTCTATAGACTAAAACAGGATGGAACTGGAACCAGGTCTCCTACACTCGTCTATTCTATTTGACAGTGATTTATACACACATGCTCAGGACACAGTCGAAATTGATATTGACTGCGTGTAATAGAGAAAGGGTTATGAAAGGGCTATGCCGCTTTTATTCACAGTGCCACTGACATTGATGGGTCCCCAATCACAATGGAATCCAAAAGCACATTTGCACAATTTGCAGGTGAACAAGCCAAGATTGTTGTCGTGGAATTACAAGTAGAACCAAGTGTGTTCAAGTTATTATGACTGAGTTAGGGCAGGACATGCTTGCTGTTAACGAACACATGGTGTCACCACAGGTTTTCAATTATCCCTTCGATTAATTTTCACATCTTGATTCAGCAGTTTCAAAGCTTGATGGTTACATGTGTCTTAACAAGAACTATCACATCAGTCATCGGTATCATTTCTGTTAAACAAGTCATATGTGTTTTTGGGAAAAGCAACATGTGAAATGCAAATTAAATAGTTTGCATCTAAAATCATTTTAGAGCAGTGGCATCACTGTTACTTTTAATTACAAATTTTGCATTAACGACATGATGTCTAGATATGTCACTACATTCGTCACCGTTACAAACCGTCTCAATGAACGACAATCGGCTTAACTTGCCCCCAGTCATTATGGCTGTACACCAATTGTAATAGTGAGTGAGTGAATTGGGTTTTCACTTTTCACAGTATTCCAGTTATATCTCTGCGTCCATTGTAATAGACGTCTGGCGGATCGATAACGAGTACGATTTATTTATCGATTCTGAAAAGTCTGTTATTATTAATATCATCAGTACATGTATGTTCGACTTCAGAATATTTACGTACATATTTTGTATCTAATGGGATACTACTTGGAACAAAAGCATGTATATAATATATGTAGATAAACAAAATAATTGTAGTAATCGTATGACTTTTTTTTAATAAAAGTTGTTTACGCTAGAACTTGAACATCTGTGAATGTTAGATATTATTTTAATAATTAATAATATCAGAGAAGAATACTTATGTATCTTGTCCATACAAATATGGCATTTTAGTTACATCCTTTCCGAAAAGGATCCGTTGGTGGTTGGTTTGGGTTACAATTTACCTTATTTTACCTAATATCGATAATAATATACCACGTTGAACTTGGTGAACCTCTTCGTCTTGCGTGACGTTGGTCCTACTCCTACATGAATAACGACGTTAAAGTACTCCACGCAATCTCATAAAGAGTACCCTGAACAATCGAATTTGAAGCAACCAATTTTGTGATCTAAGAATAGATATGCTACTGTTACTTTTAATGAGAAAATATACATTAAGTACGAAAGTAATACATAAATTACAATATTTGTCACCGTTAAAAACTGTTTTGATCGTACATGTACCAGTCAGGTTAACGTGACGGTGTGCATTAGTCAACTGGCGGCTCTTTGATCGCGTCTGTAATCCTGGTATAGTAGTGGATAATGAGTATTGTAGTAAGGAACTTGTTGTTTGTCAAGGTGGTTGTTTCCATTGCACTCCGTGACATGGCGGCCTACCCTGTGTTTTGTCCACGTCGCGACGTGGGTCTGTTTACACCTGGTGTCATCACTCAACTTCAGTGATCCTTTCATATAGACTTAACCACTGTTTTGCATTCCAATGGATTCTGATTCGGGGGAAACTGGTTAACGAAACTTTTTGTTCTCTTGCGTTGACGTTTTATATGATATAGTGGGCACCCTCCACCCAGTTTGCAAAGTCCTGGGCCCGCTTGCACAAAGCGATCTTAGTGCTAAGTCGATCGTAACTCCCATTGTTTAACACTGACTTACGACAATCGTAGCGCTAAGATCGCTTTGTGGAACGGGGCCCTGGCTCCACTTCTGATGTAGAGTAAGAGATGCAGGTAAATTATTCACCGCAACTGTGTCTTGTTCTGTTACACCACGGCAGACAGAATTGAGTAACTATCCTACAACATACCGAACAATTCTGTAATACAACACTGTGGTCATGCTTCCAACTTGAAATAATGTATCTCAATTGATATCAGAATCTTTCCGTTAGCTCGAGAGCGGTATTAGAAATCTACATAAAGTTTGTTTTAGAAGTCAAACGATTCAAATTCTTAGCGGTAAGTCCCCACAATATCTGAACGGTATACATATAAGTATTTGGAAATGTATTTCCGTAATACATAAAACGGAATACAGCAATTTCGTCTTATCAATCGAGTGTTTTGTGTTTTCAACGAAGGTTGTCTTGGAACTACAAACGCCCTGTAGACTGGATTAGGATCTCCTATATGATTAACATTTAACAAACCGAGGAGCTATTCACGCTTTGTTCTTAGCACTAAGATTATCGAAAGGCTTTCATGGAGTGAGAAACGTTAATCCATTCCTAACCGCTAACATTGCTTAAATGTAATATAGTTATCACGCAATGTGTGACAACATAACGAAAGTGCTCCATCGTTACTCTCTCTTCCATAATTTGCTGTCAGAGTTGTGCCCCTTCCTGCCAGCTGCAGGATCCGTTAATGGTGGTTTTCAATCCCTGATTCACTTATGTGTTCTCAAATGTGTATGTATCATCGCGCTACAAAAAAACGAACTAGGCGTGACTCATTGCGACGGTGATTGTACCATGTTTTGAAAATGCATTCATTAGTACATGTTATTTATGAATTAGTAAATACATGTGCATATCTTTCTAAACGTCTAAATAGACTAAACTTATACAACTTACAAATGAAGCCGGCGCTACTGCTGGGTGTGTACAGTCACTCTGCATCCTTGCTATCCTTGTTATCACTTATTTTATCCATCCTTAAAAATCCGGGTTAAAGTTGGTTTTCAGCAACCCATGCCGGTCGTAAGAGGCGACTAACGAAAGCGGGTGTTCAGGCTCCCTGACTTACTTCATGCATGTCATCGTATCCCAATCCCTTTGGTCGATCGATGTCCATGAGTCAATCACTGGATTGTCTGGTCCAGACTCGATTATTGATACAGAAAAGAATTAATTTCGTTCTGGCCATGAGACTAATATTACAGATGATCGGATAATATAGACTCATTGTAATTCGCACTGGTTTTATAATTTCTAAATGTAAACGTTTTTGTCAAGATAAAGGTCATATGTTGTGAGTAAAGATACAAACTTATACTTGGTGGGCTATTCATAATAATACAAAGACAAATATCCTGACTTTACGTTAGTACAAACTGAACTTATAAAAAGTACATGATATTCATTATCTGTGATTCTCCACAGAAATTGCATAAACATCCAGTAACAGCATGATCATCAGACATTTATTTTTCTTTGGATTTAAAAAATCATTTGAAGAACATGTAAACTTTGTAAGAGCCTTCTTGAATTACAGGTTTAATTGATGACAAATATTGTTCAGGTCTCATATTGGTGGCTCACATATACAGTTTGACCATGAACAAATATTGTGTTCTTTGCTTAAATGTATAAATAAACACATTGCAGGTTAAATTGATGACAAATATTGTTCAGGTCTCATATTGGTGGCTCACATATACAGTTTGACCATGAACAAATATTGTGTTCTTTGCTTAAATGTATAAATAAACACATTACAGCCTCCAACATCATGCATCAATCATACATTACCAAATCCATAACTTAACTTTGTATATCTTGCAAATGGAACCCAATTTGTGTGACCTAAATCACCATATTTACACAATATATGGATACTCGACTGAAGGCAATCTTAACAGCTTGATCAAATATTTATACCTCTCACAACACCATGTTCATACATTCTCATTCTTCCAAGTTCACATAACACTGCAGTATTTTGGGATGTGTATCCTATGTGTATATACACTATTTACTATGTACAATTTCAATGATTTTTCTTACTTCTGTACATCATATTTCCACACCATATAGTGAGATAGGTAAAACTTTAAAATCAAAGATTTTAAGTTGTGTATCAAGGTTTACCTCTTGATATTTGAACATCATCATTTTACTAGCTAAAGGCCAGGTACAAAAGCCTTGTTTGCCTGCTTAGCTGAAGTAAACATGCTTGAGTAAAGTACAAAGCTATTTACACCACTGTTCACGTGGGCACGGGTGACCCAGTCGTCTAAGGCGCCGCGATTCGCTGTGCAGAGTTGCGTCCCTTCTGCACGCCAGAAACCTATGATTGTGGGTTCGAATCCCGGTTCGCCCCGATTATGTTTCTAGGTTTGTCAGCACCAGCCAGAGCTCGTGGGTTTCATCGAAGTGCTAAACGTCTGTCACCTGCATCACTTCGGGATTTCCTCCCACATTAAGCTGGCACGCCGTGATATAACTGGAATAATGTTAAAAGCGGCGTTAAACCCAACTCACTCACTTAGTCTGTTCACCATTAATAAACCATTTTGCCTGTTGTGATAAAGGTCATCCATTTTTAAATACCATAACTTTATTCTGCTAATGTTTACCGTTAATCCCCATTAAAAGCAGTATCCTTCTAAAAAGAATCTGCGCATTTTGACACATCATCAGCTAATAAAAGCAAAACTATTTTATCAACACCACAATCAGTGAAGATCCCCTCTTCATAACATTTACTAGTTCACCTGTGTACATCCAAAACAGTAACGGTGAAAGCATACATCCTTGTCCTACACCACATGAGGTGTCAAATAATTGTGTATAATGTGGTGAGTTGAGCTTCACAGAAACTTTAACGCTATTCATGCTTCAAGTTAATCAAATACCAGGGATGAATTTGTGTCAAGCCAAAATACAGTAATTTTGTCCTATCAACCATATCAAAAGCTTTCTGAAAACAAATAACTAAAAACAATAATCCCTCCCAAACTAGGATTCAAATATGCAATTTTAAGTTCAAACAAAACAGTGAGTTTTGTATAATTACTGATGTAATGCTTTTCCCATTATATTAAGACCCTTAAATAATTATAAGGTTAAGTTCTACATCGTTTCTTCAAGAGCCCATTATTCCATCACGTGGAAAATATTCTTTCTTAAGTACTTCATAAAATATGGCATTATTATATTACGTGATTGTTGAAAGATTTCAGGGGTTTCACCTAGTGGAATACGTCTAAAACCTGCAGCACTTCGAGCTTTCCTCCTACATATAAATTGAATAATGTTAAAAGCGGTGTTAGACCCAACTCACTCACTCACTAGAATTGTCCTGGAAAATTCCGTTTCCATTTTTTTCACTGCATTTTCTGTATTTCTTCTTCTGTCATCACACTGTGCCCATTTCTCACAGTTATCAAAATATGAATTAACAATATAAACATCGAGCCTTTTACAGACCACCGCTGCAATATTGCTTAGTTCGGCATTAAATATAAACACACTTATTTTAGCAAATGCAAGGCTTATAGAGCACTACACTCACATGCATCCCTCTTCCAGTAATGCCTAATGTTCAAATTTCAGGTGAAGATCAGAAGTATGTGTTCGCTTCCAACAAATCATTTAGGTATGTTTGTGTTACTCTTTGAACATACTGTCATAATAAGCACACGTTTTATAGTGTGCTTATTATGCTGTGGCACAGCGCACAAAAACAATGCCTTTGATACGTACACTCACACAACCCATTGAGCTAAACACGCACCTGAGATATTTATGCCGTCATCTTCTGACTGAAGAATGATAAGACGGCAATGGCGTCTGGCGCCACTAACGCCACGATGGTGATGGTGATAAGCAGCACTCCAAGAGTACCAAAAACTGCTGCTGAAGGTCGTGAGTCAGATGAACTTGTCAGTTTGCGTACGGTCGAGGACAGAGATTGTTTAGGGAGTAACAATTTCTTCTTGATATCATTTAAGATTCTTGTCAGTTGTGTGTTTGTTGAATTTGTTTTACATACACAGATGCAAGACAGAGCTTGCATTGACGGAATTGATGCTGGTGACGGTACAGTCAGTGTGGTTGATGTTGAAGCATCCGACGCAGCTGATAACGTAGACGCTGCAGTTTGGATGGCAGTTGAAGTGCTGGCTGTATTTGTTGGGTGTAATGTCGAAGTAACGCTAGTAGCGGTAGTTGCAGTCGTGGGTGAACTGGGGAGCATGGTAGTTGATGGAGTAGCAGGTGTGGTCGTTGTCGCCGTGCCCGTATGGGTAGTAGTTGGTGTCGCAGTCAGAGAAGAAGTTGTGGTTGGAGTTGACGTAGTGACATCACTGGTTGTAAGTGTGGAGGTAGTGGATGTGGTTGTTAGGGGAACGGTTGTAGTAGAAGATGTGGTAGAAGCTACTGTTGTCGTTGTAGTTGGAATTATGGTCGTTGTATCTGGGGTTGTGGTCGTTGTTGCTGGAATTGTGGTCGTTGTACTTGGGGTTTTGGTCCAGGTAGTTGGCATTGTGGCCGTTGTAGTTGGCGTCGTTGTAGTTGGAATTGTGCTCGTTGTATTTGGGGTTATGGTCGTTGTAGTTGGAATTGTGATTGCAGTACTGGTAGTTGAAATTGACGTAGTGACATCACTGGTTGTATGCGTGGAAGTAGTGAATGTTGTTGTTTGGGGAACGGTTGTAGCAGAAGATGTGGTAGTAGCTACTGTTGTCGTTGTAGTTGGAATTACGGTCGTTGTAGTTGGGGTTTTAGTCGTTGTAGTTGGCATTATGGCCGTTGTAGTTGGCGTCGTTGTAGTTGGAATTATGCTCGTTGTATTTGGGGTTATGGTCGTTGTAGTTGGAATTGTGATTGCAGTACTGGTAGTTGAAGTTGACGTAGTGACATCACTGGTTGTAAGTGTGGAAGTAGTGGATGCAGTTGATAGGGGAACGGTTGCAGTAGAAGATGTGGTGGTAGCTACTGTTTTCGTTGTAGGTGGAATTGTGGTCGTTGTAGTTAGAACTGAGGTCGTTGTAGTTGGGATTGTGGTCGTTATAGTTGGAATTGTGGTCGTTGTACTTGGAATTATGGTCGTTGTAGTTGGGGTTTTGGTCGTTGTAGTTGGCATTATGGCCGTTGTAGTTGGCGTCGTTGTAGTTGGAATTGTGCTCGTTGTATTTGGGGTTATGGTCGTTGTAGTTGGAATTATGATTGCAGTACTGGTAGTTGAAGTTGACGTAGTGACATCACTGGTTGTTAGTGTGGATGTAGTTGTTAGGGGAACGGTTGCAGTAGAAGATGTGGTAGTAGCTACTGTTGTCGTTGTAGTTGGAATTGTGGTCGTTGTAGTTAGAACTGAGGTCGTTGTAGTTGGAATTGTGGTCGTTATAGTTGGGATTGTGGTCGTTGTACTTGGAATTGTGCTCGTTGTAGTTGGGGATATTGTCGTTGTAGCTGGAATTGTGATTGCAGTACTGGTAGTTAAACGTGTTGTAGATGCCGTCGTTGTGTGTGTACTATTTGATGTTGTTGTCCTTGCCTAAAAAGCACAAAGAACAAGTAAATCAAGAAACAATTTCAAACAAATGAATAGGGATTGATTTAGTTGCTAGGTTAATTTATTTAAAAGGTATCATCAAACAACATTTCAGAAGCTGTAGTGTCAATGAAAACAGAGTTGACAAGGACTTCATCTTCCTATTTTCTTTCAATGGGACGATTCAGTTCAGAGCCAGTAACGTTATGAAGCAAGTGATCAACAGCTGGATAGAGCATGGTTATCTAGGTACAGTTACATAAACAGAACATATCAATGAACACCAACGCATGACGAATACATCCTGGAGAATGCGCCATGCAGCCAGCTGTCCTTCCCAGACGTCCAAGTCCACAAGAACTCCAAACATAGGAAACTCACCAAAATTGACCAATACATCGAGTACAAGTACAACCACGCCAAAGGACCATGGTATCCACCACAACCACCTGTACCAGAATAGTAAAGAACATCTGTGAGACAAGAATCACTCCAACAAGAATTAGATCACATCAGCTATGTCTGCACGGCAAACAGTGGATACCCAGCAATGCTCGTCAAGCTCGTCAAGCTCGTCAAGCATTAAATCCACACCAAGAATCAGAACACATAGACAACAAACAGCGCCATTCACGATATACCTCTCACACTCAGGTAACAACAGCCTCTCCAAACATTCCAAGAAAGACGTCGTCTACACCAGCAACACCGCCTTGAAGTCAATCACCCAGGCCACAGGAAAAATCATCAACAACCAAACATCACCCCCGAGACTATAAGATCAAATGTATGCTAGTGTAGCTATAAATCACAAGGTTTCATCCCCGTTGTCACTTTGTCATGTCATCACTTTATAACCGTTTTGTTGTCTGTGTCAACCTGTGTGTATACTGATATTTAACCATGCCCTAGCTAGTTGTTGATCACCTACTTAATAACCATCAAGCATCTGTACCCTTACGTAGCTTTGAAAAACAACGAGGTTGAATCCATAAGTCAACTCAGTCTTCAATTTCAAATACAGTAGACTACGGTTAAAACCAACTGACGGATATAACGAACTTACTTTTTGGTCCCGACTTTTTGCTGTAGTTATGCTGTATATATGCTTATAACCAACTACGGTTATAACGAACTAAAATTAGTAGTCCCTTTGAGTTCGTTATAACGTTATACTGTATAAACCTAGTGATACACCGTGAGGATTCGGGTTGGAATTGGTCTTCAGCAATCCATGCTTGTAAGAGGCTACAAACGAGATCGGGTTGTCAAGCTTGCTGACTTGGTTGATGCATGTCATGGTATCCAAATTGCGTGGATAGATGCTCATGATATCGATCACTGGATTGTCCAGTTGACTCGACTGTTTACAGACCGCCGTCATGTAACTAGAATATTGCTGGATGCGGCGTTAGACAACAAACCTGAACGTGCCAGTGTCAACGTCAATCCAATAATTCATACCACGAGTCAAGTGAATGTAAACTCGGAAGTGAATGTTTTGCAGCAGATGAGGAGAATATTAATCGGTCGATGAAAGGGATACAATTTCATATACTTTATGGGACGCAACAGTTCTAAACTTTGATTAAACGTTTCCAATGCATCTGGAACAACTCCAGAAACTGAGAAGACATGAAACTAGTTTGTAACTGATATGCGAGTGTTTTAGTCACAGATTATTTGTTTTGGACTTAACCCCAAAATGATCTTTGTGGACAGACCTACCTCAGGCAGTGTGATCATATTCCACCCTATTGGCATGGACCACGCCTTCTCGTATGAGGTGCCATAGAGATACCCCCAGACAGATCCACAAGAAGTGTTGACACGGAGAGTATGAGCAGTGTTGGTCAGCGTTACGTAAGTCACAGCGACGTCACCAACGTCACTCCACGTTAACGTTGGAATCGTCGTGTCCAAAATAACGTCGTTTTTACACGTTGATTCTGCAAATATTGCCATCTTGACAGGATTAAACTCGCTTGAAAGCTGAGGGGAAGCGAAGACGTACTTTTGAAGCCATTGTTCCTTTGGAGGAACTATCATCATAGAAGGATCTGTGTCATTTTGTTCACTAGAAAGAAATGATTGAGACACCTGTGCCACAACGATCCGTTTATTTGACATCAACGCCGATGGAGAGGATGACGGCAATGTCAACTTTAAAGTACCTCCAGCGTGGGCAATGATGTAATCTTCCTCTTGAAACGTTATTTTAGTATTTGCAAACTCAGCAACAATTTTTATCACGTCCCCGACTGTACGATCTGGGAAGGGCATGAGAAAGTAGTCCATGCCCATCACGTGACTGGGCAGAAGCTGTTCCCCTAAGAAGTCACCAACCCCTCTACTTCCAATACGAGTCAAGTCGGTTCCTATAAACACCCCGACTGGTTCCGAAGCAATAACGCGAGATCCCGAGAGATCACCGGTTGATTGAAGTTGAACTGCCTGATACCTGTTTAGTGTGATGTTTATGGTATCGCCGTCGTAGAAGTCATTCCCTGAGAACGCGACTTTCTTATTATTCGATATTTGTAAATAAACGGTCACATTTGTTTCATCCACAGAACTCACAACAGCAATCTCACAGCTGTTGTCTTCACAGCATGCAACAACGATGTATTCTTTGGCAAAAGAATTTACTGGATAAGCAATGAACGCGCCAACACTTATGTATTTACTATACTCGCTGTTGGTGAAACCCTGCACACAAATATCACCACTGCTTACTACTGATATACCGCGATTGTAAACAGCTGAAAACTTTAGGTTAATCAGTTTTGAAAGAGTGACACGAGTACTCTCCCCTTGGTTCACGGTCGCCGTGATGGCTGCCTGAGTTTCCGGTTCGAGGGGAGCCGATATGGTCACAGATACGGGCGTCGGTTCCTCCGTTGATAAGAACAGTTCCAGGGTGCTGTAATCTTGGATGTGTTCTGTAAACACAACTATAAATTCTCTTCCAAACTGGTTGGGGACAGCTGAAAATAATACGAAAGCAAACCTTATAGTATGGAACCCTAGAAGGGACATTGTCGGGCTGTCGCATTGTCGCGCTTTGGTTAATTTTTGCTTGTAACGAATGTTATATTTGGGATAACACTTTATTAGTAAAGTACCGATTCTCGTACTTTTTTTGGATGAAGTCCCGTCCGGGATTCGAACCCACACTTGCCAGGGTGAGGCACCTAATGGCCAGCAGACAAAGTCATCGATCTAACCCACTCAGCCACCGAGGCTTCCACAAAAATGAAGTACTTTGAGAACCCCCCTGACAAGTGTAAATTGGCACGGCTCCCATGCCCAAAAGCTATGAATACACAATGCCATTTAGAAAGTGGTCAAATGTGGACTTTCATTTTTGTGGAAGCCTCGGTGGCTGAGTGGGTTAGATCGATTGGATCGGTTAGATCGACTTTGTGTGCCGGACGGGATTCAACCCAAAAAAAGTACGAGAATCTGTACTTTACTAAGAAAGTGTTATCCCAAATATAACATTCGTTACATTTGACCACTTTCAAAATGGCATTGTGTATTCATATTTTTTGCTTGTTTTTGTAAGGGCGATAATGCGACACATCCCTTCTAGGAGACCATATTATGGAGTAAGTAAGTTGCACATGGAGTAATGGTAGATTAAAACGCGTATAATCTCAATGATTTCGGAATGTGTGCTTCTAGTAAACTTTAGAGGGCAAAAGAAAGCATACACTACAAAAATGGATTTGGCGAAATTATTACGATAACAAACGTCATCAAAACGTTAATAGGCTGAAAATAGTCGCCGAAACACTGCAAACTTAAGGTCCAAAACACAACAATGATACCCATATAAAATAGATCTCGATCCAATCACCATTACTTGTTTGTTTCATTTTTAGCCACCATTAAATATGAGTGTATACTTTCTTTTGCCCGGCACTGTAGTATGTAGGTTCAAATCTCTGTTTCTAGGTTTGTCAGCACCATACCCGAGGGTTTCACCAGCGTGGTCAACTTCTGGGCCCTCTTCGCTTCGGCCTTACGTCCAACCCGCTCACTAGTATCAGATATAGGAACGCAGGGATGGAATTACTTATGTATAAGGGCGGTCGGGTAGCCTAGTGGTTAAATCGTTCGCTCCTCACGTCGAAGACCCGGGTTCGATTCCCACATGGGTACAATGTGAGAAGCCCATTTCTGGTGTACCCCGCGGTGATATTGCTGGAATATTGCTAAAAGCGACGAAAACAATACTCACTCACTTCTGTATAAACGTCATCACTAGTTTCATCAACCATCGAGTGACTATCGGTAATGACGGTTATTAAGTTCAGACTTAGTATAAAATTATTAGGGGTCTATCGAAAACGAACGTGAATTGATGTACAGAGGACTGACCACCAGGGGATTCGGTCAGTTTTGTTTTCGTCTTGACACATCTACTAGTCTAACACCAACACCATTCTTCACTGAACCATCTTTGATAATGTTACATGGTAGTTATGTTTACTCTATTTTGCTCCGTGGGAATTCCGGGTGGGAATTGGTCCAGCGCTATGCTGGTACAAATGGACCGGGTGGTCAGGATTGGTGTCTCAGTTGATTGCGTGACGTCGTGCCCCGATGCGTGGATCGTTATTCACATCAATCACTAGATAGTCTGGTCCAGACTCAATTATTTACAAACCGCTGTTGTGTAGCAGGAATATTGCCGAATGCGGCGTTAATCAAGAAACAAGCTTTATTTTCATTTCTGGATCGTGGAACTGATCGCACAGTAGGAAAATGGGTTGGATATGTTGAATTTCAGGCCGCTTTGAACACTTCCTCATGGACATTGCTGCTTTTCAGAATACAGTCAAACACCGTTATGTCTATGTTGAATGTTATACGAAGTTCGACCCAACCAAAAATGATGAATAAAAAAGGAACACGCAGGTAAAATGTTTTACTTCGAGCCAAACGTAAGTTCGACACAACGGTGTTTAACTGTATGTGGAGGCTAGCCCACAGTCGTCCTATTCATAGGTGTTTTCAACCCTTTTAAATCCAAGGATCACATCATCATCTTGCAGAGACCAACGTGATCCATACACACGGCGAGTTTAGGATACCAGGACCTCCTCCGTGGTCTAGTGGTAGAGCGTCGCCCCGGAGAGCGGAAGACCCGGGGTTCGATCCCCGGCCGCGCCATACCAAAAGACGCTAAAAGAGTGTGCTTGTTGTTACCCTGTCTGGTGCTCGGCATTAAGGCGCTAAAACAAGGACTGGTCGGCTCGGAGTCAGTATACTGTGTCTGAGTGGGGTATTCATGTTAAACTGCGGCATGATATCTCAGTGGGCTAGCACTATAAATCGGCATTAGTCCGGGCTAGTACAAGCAGCCACACACACACGTGCATGCACGTCGCTTTATAAGTCCAATAATCTTGGACGCGCCTTAAACCCCATTTCACCTCACCTCATCTAGGATACAAACCAACCGTCAGGCACGTGTAATGGACAACTGTACAGCGAATGCTGCACCCTTGACACGTAGCTACATCTTTAATCATTTTGTCAAATAACTTGGCATGCTACGTGTAGAAATAAAAACAGTATATAGATTCAAACATCACTTCATCACATTTAAGCCGGAAGCGAGAATATAAAACTAAACGTTCAATTGGAAGATAAACGTTATGAAACTTTTTTTTATATATGAAGGACTAACTATTTATAAATAAATATTAACCCTTTTCAAATGTGAATTTATATATTGCTTTACAATATCTATACAATGTCATAAATAAGTATTCACAACATTCACATTATATACGTGAGGTGAAATGAAATTTAACGTCGCGTTCAAGATGATTGCACTTATATAGCGGCGTGGGGTGAGTGAGTATGGTTTTACGCCGCTTTTAGCAATTTTCCAGCAATATTACGGCGGGGGACACCGGAAATGTGCTTCACACATTGTATCCATGTCGGGAATCGAACCCGGGTCTTCGGCGTGACGAGCGAACGCTTTAACCATTAGGCTACCCGGCCGCCCCTATAGCGGCGTGGATACACGTGTGTGGCTACTTGTACTAGTCCGGACTGATACCGATTTTATTGTGCTAGCCGACTGAGGTACCATGCCGCGGTTTAACATGAATTCCCCACTCGGTATTCTGACTCCGAGCCGACCAGTTTTCCCCTTAATGCCGAGCACCAGGCAGGGTAACAACAAGTTCCATAGTTTAACGCAAGACGCTGCGGGGATCTCCACATGACCACGGGGCGATGCCACATTACATGTATATAGACATATTCAAATACAATCGCCCGGAAGTCAGTTTTCCTGATTAACGAGGCCGTAACTAAACGGGTTTCACTGCGTCAAGACGTGTACTTACCACATAGACATGTACTTAATAGAAGGACCACGCCAAACACCACCAGTAAACCCATCTCTTAGGCAGCGTACTATGGATAAGAAACGATAAGATAAAAACACAAATTAAAAAGACGTGTAAAATGCCGGGCAAATGAAAGCATACACTTGAAAATTGGATTTGACCAAAGCATTGCAACTGCTTTCGAAACGTTACTAGGCTGAAGACAGTTGCCGCAACACTGCAAATATGAGTTCAAAACACAACCACAACAATAGCACATACACAATCATAGCCGGAACCGTTTCTTGTTTGTTGCATTTTAGCTACCATCGAACATGGGTGTACTTTCGTTTACCCGGAAGTTTAATATGAAACAAAATGTGTTTCATTTCTTTAGTTCATGTTGGCAACAAATTACAGCATACACTTATGTTTCATATTTTGGTGCAAGATTAAAGGAGATCAATTGATTTTTTTTTATTTTAAAAAAAAATGATGAGTTGGGTCACTGTACATGCTGGAAGCTAAATGCCAGTCCCTAGTATCCCTCTATTGAACAATGAGTGAGTGAGTGAGTTTGGTTTAACGCCGCTTTTAATAGTTTTCCAGTTATATCACGGCGTGTCGGCTTAATGTGGGAGGAAAGCCCGAAGTGATACAGGTCTCAGACGTTTACCACTTCGGTGAAACCCACGAGCACGGGTATGGTGCTGACAAAACTAGAAACATAATCGGGGCGAACCGGGATTCGAACTCACAATCATTGGTTTCTGGCGTGCCAAAGGGATGCAACTCTGCACAGCGAATCGCGGCGCCTTAGACGACTGGGCAACCCGTGCCCCCTATTGAACAATGAAGTACATACAACTACAACTGTTTAAACCAAGTAACCAGCCATCACTAGACAATACAATTATCATATAACATTTATTTGTATAGAAAACAAATTTGGCTTTACCTCAATCACTATGCTAATTGTTGGGCATAAGGCTAACACAGTGAACAATGTTTTGACAATGGTAAGCGTCAATCGACACCCTGTATATTTAACACAAGTATAACTGTCTCGCGATTTTGTTTTATTGTCAAACATCCATTTTATTTAGAAATGTCAGGATAGCGTTTAACACCAGATTGTGTTCCCTAGTCCTTCCGTGTTGATATCGGACTGATCGTCTTCATTGGGTAGATCTTCCTCGCTTTCCTCGCTGCTGTCAAGACTATTTTGACTAACCACGGGCTTTTATCGATATGGACGAATATGAGTAAGGTCATTGAAAGAAACGTTGTTTTCATCGATGGCATTGTCTGGAGATGTCATGGCGAACGCAAGTAATCTACCAAACACAATACAGAAACAGTGATTGGCTGCAAGTCAACGCTCCACTGTGACGTCAGGGACACGTAATGACAACGCTGCTCATTAACTCTCGGTAGTTTTCGGAATACGAGTAGGTTATTAACGTTTTTCATCACTAATATTGCCTTTGGACTTTTTCCCTTCAAGATACGTATTTTGATATGCTGAATAAATGATTAAATCCCATATTTATATAGCGTACTGTCAACTCGGTTATCCAGTGCGTGGTATATCAATGCAATAACGATGAATACCATTTACCCATTCGCCCCTGCCCTTTCTCCTATCACAAACTTTGCACTGAATTTGTCTCGCTCGTGAGTTTGAAATAAACTACGATTCAAAATAAATCCCCTGAAATCCCCTGAATAGGAGTTGTACATCCATGACTGAGGCCTCGTAGCCTAGTGGTTAAAGCGTTTTCTCGTGACGCCAAAGACCCGGGTTCGATTCCCGACATGGGTACAATGTGTGAAGCCCATTTCTGGTGTCCCCCGCCGTGATATTGCTGGAATATTGCTAAAGCGGCGTAAAACCATACTCACTCACTCACTCACTGAGGCCTCGTATCAGCGCCTCTCGACACGTTAAATTGAATCACAGGACTGGAATAGATATAGTTCTTGATACCAGTTATTCTTGAGATGCACACAACAGTGTGCCCGCTGCATGTCCCATTATACAATAAAATGGCAATTTTTGTTTTGAGCTTAGTAAAACATTTTGTCCTATTTTGAACATATATTTATTATTTGAATAATAATTATCTGTATCATATTCACATGGAATATAGTTTAAGTTGATATTGATAAAACTTTAAACTTTGGAATAATTATTTCAGTTCTTTAAAACACTCCTTCTACTGTATTACATGCGAATGATTTTTGTTTTATATATTGGTTATTAACAGCTGTTCGTGTTTGTTGAACACATTAAATACGTAAATAGATCACTCTAAATATCATACATTGCAGACAAAAGTGTAAGGGTTGAACAAATAAAACAGGATGTATAAGAGATGTACACTCGTATTCCTTCATATGGTAATGTTTATTTAATGAGATTACTATATGGTGGTTGCAATTTTTAAAAATATTTAAATTTTGTGTTTCATGAGAGAAGAGCATTCTAAAAGAAATATCATTACATTACCAGTAGCTACGGGTAACCTCGACATTTGTTTTTTAGGAATATTGGTGTTTTTATCTCCAGGAATGCCCCCACGTGATCAATACAACGCGTCTAACCACCAGAATTATATGAAGATAAGGGACCGTCGGGTAGCCTAGTGGTTAAAGCGTTCGCTCGTCACGCCGAAGACCCGGGTTCGATTCCCGACATGGGTACAATGTGTCGAGCCCATTTCTGGTGTCCCCCGCCGTGATATTGCTGGAATATTGCTAAAAGCGGCGTAAAACCAAACTCACTCACTCACTATATGAAGAGTGAGAAAAGAAGAATACAATCAGGATAATTTCAACCTTAATTAATATTTTAATAGTGCTTCAGTCAATTATATTTACCAAACACAGATAGCAGGTCACGCAAAGCAGAAATAATTTATGGATAACAACTCTTTATTCACTGTAGAGGCGACGTTTCGGTATAGATCCGCCATAAAAGGATCTGTACCGAAACGTCGCCTTTACAATAAATAAAGAAGTTGTTATCCATCAATTATCTCTACTTTGTCATCCGCCAGCTTCTGAGTAATGCCTTTCAAACAATGTAGCAGGTCGCACATTGAGGACTTAATTAAATGCAACAAACTCATTTCCAAAGCATAAGAAATTCCCGCTGAAAGCATTATTCCGACTATGTCATGATCATACGCATGTGTTTATGAATCACTATCAACTAGTGATGATACCAGGTGTTCGTGAATAGGTGAGCTATACTTATCAAGATGTGGTACCCATTACAAACACATGCGAAGGCAAGTAAACTGATTCACCTGAAAACATACTAAGCATATGGTACGATTGTATGATTCCGACTATATCAAAAGCAGGTGTTTATCAATCACTACCAAATAGTGATCATACCAAGCATTCGCCAAAAGGTAAGCATATCCTGCCCAATCGGTAGCACCCGTCACAAATACGTGCAAAGGCAAGTCAGTTGTTAACATGAAACTACACGGGAAGATATGGCACAAGTCCAAATAGAGAATTGGATCGGCCATCTATCATTCTTGTCACTGATGCGTCAGATTATGTCCATCATAAAACGTTTGAAAGCTTCATTGAGGCCTAAACTGTTGTTACCCTGATCAAACAACTTCTGAATCGTATGACACTCCTTGAAATTGTCGAATAAAGAACATGCTTGATTGTATATCAAACGTTGTGATATGCTGGACCTGCGGGAATATTACTCCATATAAAGGGAAGGTTGACTTTTGGACATCTTGTCAACCCTCTTGTCAAACAGTCTTGTCAAGAGTGTTTTGTCACTCAGAATCTTTATACATAGATCTAATATAGAACAGACCAGGCGGTTTCACTGATGTCTTTTATTTCTAGTTCAGGTGGGGGCAGTCGGGTAGCCTAGTGGTTGAAGCGTTCGCTCGTGACGCCGAAGACCCGGGTTCGATTCCCGACATGGGTACAATGTGTGAAGCCCATTTCTGGTGTCCCCCGCCGTGATATTGCTGGAATATTGCTAAAAGCGGCGTAAAACCATACTCACTCCCTCACTCTAGTTCAGGTGGGTAAATCACTGGAAGGAGTTTGCTATTTGACCGTTATTGAACAATATTGTCGCAACCAACGTTTTATTGGGCTCGTTCGACAACAATCGGATCTGTGACCTGTTCTGATCGTTTTGTTTGTTTGTTGTTTAACGCCGTATGACTGTATGACGGCGGTCTGTAGATAATCAAGTCTGGACCAGACAATCCAGTGCTTGACATCATGAGCATTGATCCACATGCATCAACCAAGTCAGCGAGCCTCACCACCCGATCCCGTTAGTCGCGTCTTTCGACAAACACAGTCACCTTTTACGGCAAGCACGGGTTGCTGAAGACCTATTCTACGCCCGATCGTCACGGGCCTCTTGGTTTGTCCGGGCACAGGTTCACGAGATGATACTGAAATCACGGTACAAAGTCTTGCGGTACATCAACCATTTGCATCTAATAAATACTGCGCTACACTGTCTGCTCTATAGGCCTCGAAATTATAATTAATATCTGTACTGCGTCCGCTTACATGGGAATGTCGGGTTAGAATAGGTCCCCAACTCTCTATGCTTGTCTTACGTGTCCATTATATGGATCGAGCGGTCACATCGGTGAGTTTACAGCGTCTTCATACCCCGACGGTATGGCCTTGTTGCTCATACTATCAGTCACTAGTTTGGCATAGACTCAGCTATGTACAGGCCGCCATTATACGGCAGGAATATTGTTAGGTGCGACATTATACAATAAACCAATAATTATAATTCTGTATTAATTTTGATTGTTTCAGATGATATTTCAAACAGACTAGCATTGGACGCATTACATAACCACAAAGATTAAAAAGAACCAACGAAACTGTACATATAATCCGGTTTTTTTTTTCAATGCCCAAAGATTCCACGGGCCTTCCAATGATTACAAGCAAGTTCGCAACCAATGCTTGTCGTAAGAGGCGACTAACAGGATCGGGTGGTCAGGCTCAGTGACTTGATGAATGAATGAATGAATGAATGAATGAATGAATGAATGAATGAATGAATG